ATAAAATCTTTAAAAAAAAAAAAGAGTTACAAAGACAAATAACAGAGAAGAAGGGGCTGGAGAGGGACAGGGTGGCATTTTAGATGAGGTGGTCACGGAGGGCCTCTCTGAGGAGGCGAAGGTTGAGATGAGCCCTAAGGAAATGAGAGAAGGAGGCAGGCTGGTATCCAGGGCAGGAGGGCTCCAAGTAGAAGGAACAGTGAGTGCAAAGGCCCTGAGGTAGGAGCATACTTCATGGCAAGGCCAACAGGGAGGCTTGTGCTGTTGGAGCTGTGTTAAGAGGGGCGGGGTGGGGGGATAGTTCAGGAGATGAGATTAGGGAGGTGAAGAATCCAGAATGCATAGAGCCTTGTGGGCCATGGTAAGGGCTTCAGCATTACTCTGAGTGAAACGGAGCCAGCTAGGAGGTGAGAGAGGTGAGTAACATGATCAGATTATTCTCGAAAACAAGTAGGTCACTTTATTGCATTTGATCACTCATTGACTCATCGCTCCACAAGTATTTACCGAGCACCAGTGCCAGGCCCTGCTCAGGTTTGAAGACACTGATTCACACACGGTTGCACCCTCTGAGAGTGACCCCTACTTTGGAGCAGTGAGCAAGGAAATCCTACCACCCTGGGCTACCGATGCCAAGCCCGTGGGAGGGGCCAGGGTCTGTGGGCACCAAAGGGGCGCTCCTGGCACAGCCTGGACGACTCACGGGCCATGTGCCCGGGATGAGCTCCTGCTCCTGTGTTCGATGGGACCATTCCTCTTTCCTTGCGGGGTTAGTGTGTGGACAGACTGCGGGGCCTAGAGATATGCCCACGTGAAGTGTGTGACGTGCACAGATGGGAGGCACTTGAGCACAATAAACACCACCTCTCTCCTCCTGGCCCCTCTTCATATATAAGTTGCTGTGGCCTTTAGAGCCCAGGATCACAGGGAAAGGGGACTTCTCCTTCCTCTGGGCAAGCTCACGGTCAGATTAGCCCTCCAGCCAGCCATTCCCATTCTGCACATCACAAGAAATTTGGTACTAATTATACCAAAGTTTGGGACTTATTTACTTCTTATGATTTTATGGTAAATTAGAGCTGATTCATGGCTGTCCCTACAATTAGATACCCCTCTGACTTGCATTCTGGTACGCTCTGAGTGAGAACCGGGTGGGGTCATAGCTTGGGAAGAGGAAAGTTCCCAGAACCAATAACCCATTTTGCCTCACCTTGGGCACCTGCGGGAAAGTGTCGAGAGGAGATGCCCACCTGGCAGGGGAATCAAGTCTCAGAGACGCTGCTGAGTGCATCTTTACTGTGCTTGACACTGTGGCTTCTCTCCTGGCTTATTTCTCAAGGTGTGTTCCACAGAACACTGGTTCTCTCGCATGGATTTTGGGAAACTGCCTACTCTGAGCCCATCTCAGAGAGCCCCAATGGCCTTTAGGGTATTCAAGGCTCTGTAAGTCCTGCAGCAAAGAGACCGGTTTTGACCATGGGGACAAAGAGAGGGGGGGAGAGAGGGAGAGAGAGAGAGAGAGAGAGAGAGAGAGAGTGTGTGTGTGTGTGTGTTTAGCTGTAACACTGTTACCAAGCAGAACATGTTGTCTTGGGACTTTAAGTAAAGACAATCTCCCTGGTTCCCAGACTAACACAGATTCTGAGGCCTGTTCCCAGGAGGCCAGAAGGAGGGCCTAGAGTTTGGGAACTTCTCAGAGGAGATGGGGTAGGAGAGGTGGAGACCTTCAGTTGCTCAGGAAAGAAGGAGGGGGCGTGCCACACTGGGAAGAGAAACCACAGAGAAGAAAGGAGGGCGTTCAGAAATTCACAGCTCCAAGGTTGACTTTGTATTCCCTTGTTGGGCTGAGAGGTGTGTGTGTGACCGAGCTAGGGGAGGGCAGGCAAAGAAGGGAGAGGTCCCTGAAAGGCTCTCCTGGCCTCTGGGCCCCCACCCCAGCTGCAGCTGTCTCCTCCCCTCACCCCCATTCGCTCCCCAGGCCTTCAGGATTAAGGACCTGGGCTGTCATTCTCTGGGTCATTCCTTTACCCACTTCTCTGCCTTTGGAATCCCTTTACCAACCTCTTATCCCCTCACCTTAAATGCTCCTGAATTAATAAAAATAAGATGATGATAATAGTAAGAGTAAGCAGAGGATGGGGCTGACGGCACAATTGGAGCAGGCCAGGATGGTGCAGAGGCTGGATGCCACGAAAGCCACCAGCGTGGCAGGCCGGCCACCCACGGCTGCCACATAGCCCAGCACGGAGCAGGGCCCCCACATCAGCACAAAGACCACCAGCTCCACAAGGATGAGACCTGTGTTTTCCCGGTGCTCCTGGAGGCTCTCCCCCCTGGGGCCACGAGGCTGTGTCCACATGAGCCAGCCCACATGGCTGAAAGAGCAGCCCAGCCCGCACATGCAAGGCGGGAAGGCCAGGCTCCCAGCAGGGTGAAGTAGCAGGAGGTCTGGGCTGGGCTTGGACGCAAGAGGCAGGCCCGGACTCCTGCTGCCCCCCTCCTGCACCACCACGCTTTGGAACAGCCAGGTGGGCAACGACGCGGCAAGGCCCAGGACCCACATGGCCCCATGGAGTAGCAGGCAGCGCCCCGGCCAGCCGGGAGGGCCACATCAGCCGGGCCACGGCCACGTGGCGCAGAAAAGCCGTGGCCACCATGCCGTAGAAGGTGCAGAACGCGGTGGTGCTGTTGGTGGCCCAGCTGGTGGTGCGGATGACAGGGCTCAGCCACCAGTCAGGCCGCAGGAAGCTCAGCGGCAGCATGGGTACCACGCAGGCCAGGAATAGCAGGTCGGACAGCGTGATGTTCACCATGAGGCTGGTGGTCAGGGCGTGGAGTGGCCAGGAGGCGCCTGGGCCCCGGGCCGCCACCAGCAGCATCAGCCCGTCGGCCAGCAGCCCCGCCAGCAGGATGAGGCCGCAGAGCCCGGAGAAGAGCCGTCGGGGCAGTTGCTGGGGTGCGGCCGTGAGCCTGGCGGCGGTGAACATGGCCTTGGGCTCCGCCCCTGTTCCATGCTCCCGCTCCGGACACACAAGGACAGTGTCGAAACCAGCCCGAGGGCCACCTTCCCCTTTCCCTGGATAGCCCCCCTCCTTTCACAGCCCCCTGCATCCCGTGGGGGCCCTTGCCGGGAGTCAGTCACTTGAGACCTCACAACAACCCGACCGGACGGCCTCGGTCAGCGCCCCGGGTTCGAATCCCGACTCAGCTACTTCGGAGCTCCGTGACTTTGGGAAAGTTACCCAGTTTCCCTACCTCGGTTTCCTTAACTGTGAAAAAGGAAGGAAATAAAATAAAACAGATGTCAACTGCTACAAAGGGGGGAGGTGCAGGTAATTTTCATTTTCCTCTTTGTCATTTATTTTTACAATTTCTGCAGGGAGAACAAATTGAATTTGGGGTGTGTGTGTGTATTTTTTAGATTAATTTATTATTTATTTATTTAGAGAGTTGGGGGAGGGGCAGAGGGAGAGAAGCGGACTCCCTGCTGAGTGCAGAGCCCGATGTGGGTTTGATCTCAAGACAACGCAGAGATCATGACCTGAGCCAAAATCTGGAGTCGGATGCTCAACCGACTGAGCCACCCAGGTGCCCTATATATATATATATATTTTTTTTTTTTTTAAACAAAGCCTTGCCTGCCTATGAAACAGATATTAATTTGAGGTTCAAGCAAGAAGGTGGATATGCAGGGGCTTTGAGAAGGCGTGAAGCCCCTGTCAGGGGTTCCCAAGCTTGTCTGCACAGTGGGATCACCTGGGGAATTTCAAAAATACTAATCCACAGGTCCCAACCCAGGGACGGGATTTGGCTGGTCTGGGCTTTGGCATTTTCGAAAGATCCCAGAGGACTCTCCAGGGCAGAGCAGCCTGCCCTCTCTGGCTGTGCTGTGCTGGTTAGCTGGCAGGGTTGGGGGAAGAGCTGCACCCCAGCTTCCTCCCCACCCTCACTCCATCCTACAGGCTGAGGACATGGGGAGCTCCCGATTGAGAGGGGTCAGGCTGAGAAATGGGGTCTAGACATCCCAGAGTTAGCCCAGGGGCCAGTGTCTCCACCTGACACCCCACAAACCAGGCCAGAATCCCTAGCTTTCTTGGGATGAAACTTGCCCATTAACTCAATAAATAAATATTTATTGGGCGCCTGGGTGGCTCAGTTGGTTAAGCGACTGCTTTCGGCTCAGGTCATGATCCTGGAGTCCCGGGATCGAGTCCCGCATCGGGCTCCCTGCTCAGCGGGGAGTCTGCTTCTCCCTCCGACCCTCTTCCCTCTTGTGCTCTCTCTCATTCTCTCTTTCTCAAATAAATAAATAAAATCTTAAAAATAAATAAATAAATAAATAAATATTTATCTTCCTATAAGAAGGCCCCTAAGTTCGTGGTGAAGCTTGTGGCTGCTGGGGCCTCGGTTCAAAGCCCCGCTGTACCACTTTCTAGCTGCGTTGACTGTGGACAAGCTACTTATCCTCTGTGCCTCATTTTCCTCATCTGCGAAGTGGGGATAAGCAAGCCCCATCTCCTAGGGTTGATGTGAGGATTAAATGGGGTAGGACAAGTTAGGTGCTCAGAATAGTGCCTGGCACGAAGTAGGTGCTTTGTAAATGTGGGCTGTTCGGCTCCTGCCCACCCTCAGCTCCAAAAAGCTCTCTCCCCTAACGCCTCTGTCCAGGCTCCATTTTGTCCCCCTGCCCGCCCCTTCTCACTCCACATCCTGAGCCCTATCAGCCCAGTCTGGCCCTCCTTATCTTAATCAGCCTCAAGCTAAGGTGTGACCAGAGCCCCCCGTGGCAGACATGCCCTGAGAACTCACCACTTGCCTGGAAGTTCACTCTGAAATCTACCTTGAGTCCCTCCTGCTGCTCTCATGTGCATCCTGCTGCTCTAAGGTTCCTGGGCCCTGCTTGCTGACTTGGGGGCCTCTGACACCAAGCAGGGCTGGCGGCCCCTCCACAGCTCTGCTCTGCGCAGAAGCTGGATCTTGCCAGAGAAAGCTGAGACGGTTCAGGGCAGGTGTGTGGTCCCTTCCCGCACCCCACCTCTAGGGAACCTGAGCCGGCTGCCCACAGCTGGGGCAGAGCTGAGATGGGAGGGGCGGGCCTGGGGGACACCTTCAGGTCCCCCGAAGGACAGGGGGGACTCTATCCGCTCTATTGGCTCCCCCAGGAATCACACCCTGCTTACCTGCCTCATTAACTCGCTGGCCTACAGGGCAGAGCTGTCGGGGCCTGCCAGGTCCCCAGACCCCAGAGAGAGCCATTAGCAACAGCAGGACCGGCCCCCCCACCCCCGCCCATGGCCAGGCATCACTCACTCCAGCCCACCTCTCCCTGTCTGTCTGTCTGTCTGTCTTAGAACCTACTATAGCCTAGAAACTGCTCAGAGCAGGGGGAGGCTTGTGGGCTGACAGAGAGGATCCAGGAAGGGAGAAGACATTGGGGGTAAGAAAGAATCAGTGAGGGACGCCAGTAAGAGAACAAGCTGGATCACAAAATCATCCTGCATATTGACTAGAGGCTGAATGGGGTCCATTAGGGCACCTGATCCAACCTCTGGTGGCTTCTGACGCCTGAATCTTTTCTACCTTGCCTCTTGCCAATGTGTCACCCGACTTCCCCTTGTGTGCCTCTAATGACAAAGAGCTCACTGCTGCAGAGGCATCCCTTTCGGAACTGAGCAGAGGGATAGGGGCAAAGATTGGAGACTGATTAAGCCAGTCGGAAGGCTCTGCCTTCTACCTCCTGCCCTTTCTCGCGGTCTCTCACTCTGTACCTCTGTCTCTCGAACTGTCTCTGCTTGTCTCTCTGTGAAACTGGAGTTTCCTCTGATTCCCCAGTACTGAAGGATTACTTGCTCAGGGTCCTGCATGCACCGGGCTGCAGGACGTGGTGAGCATCATTGCGGTTGACAGTTAAGATGACAGGGACAACAGTTGCAGCAAACGTACATGACGGAAGACAGTCCAACAATGAGGGGCCATCTCTCAAAGCAGCCTCCTTAAGGGCACTGAGGACCCCAGCCCAGCTTATAGCGGGCAGCCACCTTCCAGGAGGCGAATGGTAGGCAGTTCTGGGAACTCCAACCAAAGCTCCAAAAGGGAGCCCGCGAGTGATCTGAATCTAGTTTCTCTGCTGCTCCGCAGGCCATAGACCAGGGCAGAGGGCTGCACCAGATGACATCACGACATTAGAGCAGGGGGTGGGATGCCTGACTATGACCCCTTAGAGGCAGGTCTTGGGGAAAGGGAGTGGGGTTGGGGCTCAGGGAGACGGGGGTAATAGGGCCTATCAGGGGCCATCGAAACACTGCTCTTCCTCAGGAATCAGATTCTGCTCGGAAGAGACTTGATGCTCGCAAACAGGTGGTGAGAGAGACAAGGTTCATGAGCTTCGCAGGCACGGAACAGTGGGACTGCTTTAATAAAGCGTCTCGTAATTAACAGGTTGCAGCACTTAGTAATCAGCCCCAAAGCAAGCTCCTCGGAAAGTTTCTTTCCCTCCCCGTGACGCTTAGTTTTATTTCGCATTATGTAAGGAATACCCAGGCATTGCAGAAGATCTAGAAATAAAAATACATATAAAAAGGGCAATAACACCCCCACACATTCACCCTATGATTTTACCCCACAGAGCTGTGTGGCCAATAATATGGTGTGTTTTCCTTAATTCATTTTTGACTTTTTCTTTCTTTTGAAAGTTTTAACCACCACCCCCACTACCCACCACCCCCTCAAATCCTTCTTCAGAGTGCAAAGGGCAGCCTTAGCACTGCCCCTGCCCTGGGATCCAAGTCATGACCTGAGGGGGATTGTCCTGAACTTCTAAGCTGGCCATCTCTGTCATGGCTGCATCCTGGCAAGGTGGGACAGGAAACCCCAGGGGTGGCTGTCCCCCCACCCCTGGCTGGGCTGGAGGGTCAGAAGCAGCATTCAGCTCTCTTCTGTGGCCTCTTGGGGGTCACCTCCACCAGTGAGTCCTTCAGGCGGTCCTCCTGCATCTTGAGGGCCCTGTATGATGACACCAGACATCAGTCCTCTGTCTCCCCTTCCAGGGGCAGCAGGGCAGGGAGGGGCCCGTGGGTGCAGCTGTGGGGCTGGGGGATTGAGCACCCCGAGCTTCCTCTCTTCCCCCTTGCCCTGCTCTTGCGCTGCATCCCACACGGCACCCGAAAAATGGGGCCACGGAGACTTTGGTCTTCTGTCTCTTTCCTAGCATTCTTTCCAGCCTCCTGTGCACCAGGCACTGTGCAAGGGACTCTGAATAGGACAACAAAGCCAGCATGTCCTTGTCTCGAGAGATGAGGAGCCAGAGAGAAAAGGGGCCATCAGAACCCAGGAATGAGGAAGCACACAGAAGGACGTGTCCTCGAAGGTCCTCGAAGGAGGAAGGAGGCAGTGTCAGAGCTGAGACCAAGCAGTGGAGAAGGGTTTGCTAGCAGCAAAGGGGGGGGTGCATTCCAGGCAGAGGGCAAAGGCTCAGTGAGAGGCAGAGAGCTTGGGGGTTGGGGAAATAAAAGAAGCTCATTCATTCATTCACTCATGATATATTTACTGAGTGCGGACCACTGCACTGCCGAATCACAAAGCCTAAAGACTGGCCAGAAAGAAGCCTTGAGGCTACAGGGGTTCAGGGCCCTGGGGGCCTGGAAGCCACATTCAGGAACTTGGGCTTTTGTCCTGAAGCAAAGGGAAGCTGTTGAGCAGTTGTCCATCAGAGGACATCACGGCGTGATCAGGTGAGCGGTTTCGCAGACTCACCCTGGCTGCTTTGTCGCAGAAGGGGCTTCCAGGTCATCTGGCCTAGGACCCCTTCCACCTTACTCATTTCCTTCATTCATTTGGCTCCCGTTATGTGCCAGGCCCTGGGTGTGGAGGGAGGGGGACCAAACAGACCTGGCCCTGCCCTCCTGGAGCCACAGCCTCTGGGAGGAGGCAGCCCCCAACCGGGAGCCGGACAGATGCACGCATAATTACAGTTTGTCCAGAAGGGCTTTGAAGGACACAAACAGGAAACAGGGATCCAGAAGAGTGGGGGATGGAGAGTGGTCAGGGACCGCCCCTCTGAGGGGCTGAAGCTGAGCGAGTGAGTGCGCATGTGTGTGCGTGGGGACCGGACCTCTGACGATGAAGGCCATTTCCAGGCGTTTGGATGTCATTCTAAATCTAGTGGAAGCTGGGGCACCTGCCTGGCTCAGTCGGAAGGGCATGAGACTCGTGATCCCGGGGTCATGAGTGGGAGCCCCACATTGGGTGTAGAGATTACTTAAGTAAATAAAGAAAAATTAAAAATTAAAAAAACCCAAATCCAGTGGAAGTGACTAGAAGGTGGAGAGCAGGAAGGTGACCCTCTGCCTCACCACACTGTGCAGACGAGAAAGCAGGCTGAGGCTGAGAGAGCGTGTGAGCCTCTCGGGAGGCCATACGGTCGGCGGAACTGGTAGAACTGGACTCAAGACTCTCCGCACAGTGCTCTCTCTCCTTCCCTCTGTGGCTTCACGGGGCTTCCTCAGAGTGGGCCTTCCCTTCCCACAGGAGGGCTCTGGAGGCTGCCCAGGGGACTCTGGGTAGGGGGCAGCGGGGGGCACTCACCGGGCCAGGTTCACCACGGGCTCCAGGATGTTGTGACCCAGGGCAGCGCTACACTCTCCAAAGGAGACCCCCAGCTCCTGCAGGCAGAGAAGGGTGTGGGGGCCCTGGGAGAGCCCTCTGAGGCCCCAGCCAGCCCTGGTGGTCTAGCCTAGCAGACAGAGCCCCACCCAGTGCGCCCCTGGGCCAACCCCGAATGGGGGTGTGAGGCAGCCCCCCCCCCCCCCCCCCCCCCCCCCGCGCCCCCTCCTCCGCGCTGGCCACCGGTCAAAGATGCCACCCCGGAGACTTTCCACAGCCCTCGCTCGGAGTGATGGTGGGAAGCCTATGTCCCAACTTGGAGAAACGTCCCTTGGGGAGATTTTAAACTGTTAGTTATGCTTTTTTGATTTCAAAAAAAATAAAAAAAATTCAGCTGGGGAGGGGACGGAATATTAGAAAATACAGTATTCAAAAAGTGTAAGAGCAAAATATAAACCCCTCCTGTTAGCGTTTGATATATATTTCCGTCCTGTTTTACAGAACCCTTTTCCTGGAGGCGAGGGGGCTCCACATCATCGCACTGTGGATTTAAACCCTAGGAACCCGGGGGCGCAGGCAGGCCCCATGGAGTATCAGCAACCTCGCAGGGTTCAACCCAACCTAAACCTTGGCTTGCAGCTGTTCTTCTGAGTCCACATTTCATTGTGAGCATTTCCTCCACGCCCTCGGACATTTTTCCGGCAGGATTCTTAATGGCAAATGCTAGCCTCTCACGTGAACCTCCACAACTTAACCACCAACTGCTGCCAAATGTTTGTTCTTATAAATAATGCTGTAAAGAACATCCTCATATAAACATGCTTGATTATACATTATACGTGGGTATCCATTATGCTATTCTCTTAGGGATTATTATTTCTGATTCTTTCCTTAGGATAAATTGCTAGAGGAGGAATTACTATGTCAAAGAGATGAGCAACTACATTTAAGGGGGAAAAAAATCCCGCCAACCAGGAGCCACAATGATGACCTCATGATTCTGAGAAAGGAGAGAAGGGGAAAGAAATACAAAATGGAAATGCCGAGAGGGGCTGTGGTAGAGGTGGGGTAAGGGCTGGGTTCTTTTTTCCTTCCTTATTATTCTCCAGAGTTTCTGGAATGTGGTCAACTTCTATTCATAAATAAATAGTATCCACTGTCTGCTGGTGGGGCTTTTGATGCAATCTTGCCAGGGAAGAATTTGGGTCCTAAGATAGAATAAATTAGAAGGAATGTTCTGTTAATTAGAGACCAGAGAGAAAATTCAGATTTGATTGGGAATTTTAAGTGAAGCTTTTAAAACGTTTTTTTTTTTTTTTTTTTACTCTGACGATATTTTTATATAGGTCAGAATGTTGTGTGGGGATCTGCTAATTCAACATGAGGGTCAATGTCATGCCCGCTGAGACAGCCTTATGTTTGGGTCTAAGAACGGGGGTGGGGGAGTGGGGAGGCAGAGGGGGCCAGGTTGCTGTCCACTCTGACCCAGCCTTTGGCAGGGCAGGGGCAGAAACGGGCAGTGGGTCCTTCTCAGTTGCCCAGGCCAGGGGGACCAGGGAGGGGTCTGTCCTGTCCAGGCTGGGTGTGGGGCTGATGTCCAGGTGCTCACCTGGGCCAGTTGCTGCCCAGCCTCGATGGGCACCTGCCGCTCCTCCTCACAGTCCATCTTGTTTCCGAGGAGAAGGATGACCACCCCGTCGGCCCCTGATTCCTGCGTATTGAACACATGCCCTCAGCCACACATGTTGAGGGCCTGCTCTGCCGTGCTAGGCCCTGGCTGGATTTGGCCCTGCCCTCCAGGAAGCTGACAGGGTACACACCCCCTCCGCCGCCTTTCCGTGTCACACTCACTCCACACCCTTCCCCCACCCATGACATCTTCCCTTCAATCTACAGTGAGTCTGCCCTTCCTTTCTGCCTGCAAACATGTCACCCATTTTCCAAGGACAGCCTCAAAGCTGCCTCCCCCAAGAAGCCTTCCAGGATTGTTCCTGCCCATGCTCCTCTCTTCTTGCCTGTGCTGAACAGCCCAACGCTTGATTACACAGGCTGGCTTGACTCATTTCCTAATTGTTTCATGATGACGACAATGACGACTAGCTTCTATTTACTGAGTGCTTACCATATACCCTAAAGGCAATTTTATCAATTAATCCTAATAACTAAATCCTAATCCTATCAATTAATCCTAATCCTAGTATGAGGGAAGTTGGAAAATTGAAGTTCAGAGAGGTTAAGTCACTTGTCCAAGATGACAGAGTTGGGGCAGGGTAGTTGGGATTCAAACCTACGTCCTGTCAGACTCAGAGCCCAGCCTCCTTCATTCATTACCTTATCTTACTGCTTTTGCTTCTCTTCAACTAGACTAGAAACTTCCAGAGAGAAGACAACATGTCTTTCTTCATACCCCTCTGCTGTGCTAGTACATACTGCAGAATTTCAGTATATATGTCTCAGTTGAGTACATGGGGGAAAGAACTAGAGATGTGTGGACAGAGGAATTGTCACCTAGAGTGGTACTAGACTTGCATTATCCCCAGGCATAAAGAAGACATCACCGAGCTGCTGTATACAGGAAAGAAATGTTTGGGGGATAAAGGAAGTAGTTTGTTTTGGAGGCTGTACTATGTGGTTGTGGTTTCTTCCTATGACTATGCTCCCAGCTCATCCAGCCACATGCCTTCAGTGGGTCATATCACCCACGTGTCTGTCGTGTCATTTGTAGTCCTGGGGAAAAAGGGGGCGTGGGCAGGATACAAGTTCCCTCTTGACTCCACAAACCGGGGCCAACCCCAACAGCCATCTGCAGGTGGCTACAATGGCTGCTTACCCGGAGACAGTCCAGCCAGTAGCGCACGTGGGCGAAGCTCTCCTGGGAGGTGATGTCGTACATGAGTACCACTCCATCAGCCTTGCGGAGCAGCTGCCGAGTCATGCTGTGGTACCTGCCCAGACAGTCTGCGTGAGACTGGGCCTGGTGGGCGGACCCCTCACCCTGGTCTCTCTAGGCCTCAGCTACTTCATCCGCAGAGTGGGAGAATTAACGTTTCCTGCCTCTAAGCGCTTCCTACAGAGAGTGTGCATACAGCAGTATGACTGTTGAATAGGTAACAGTTCTCATGGCTAGAGTTTCAAAGGGTACCAAAGAGTACCCAGTGAAAACTCTATCATCCCCCTCCCCCTTTCCCAGTTAATAAAATGTCTTGGGGGCATACCTGGGTGGCTCCGTCGGTTAAGCGTCTGCCTTGGGCTCAGGTCATGATCCCAGGGTCCTGGGATCGAGCCCCATGTCGGGCTCCCTGCTTTCTCCCTCTCCCGCTCCCCCTGCCCCTCCCCACTCATGCTTTCTCTTTCTCTCTCTTTCAAATAAATAAATAAATAAATAAATAAATAAATAAATAAATAAAATCTTTTAGAAAATAAAAACAAAATGTCTTGGAGCTGTTTCCCCATTGGTGCATAGGGAGAGTCCACAGTCTTTCTTTGTGACTTCATAGTATTCTACGGATTGTGCAGCTCGGCTCTGACTGATTCAGCTGGGCCACCCGTCCTACTGGTCAGACCGTTCCCGGTGCTTCTCCACATGAACCATGCTGCTGTGGACATTAGCCACTATTACAGTCAGGGACGAGTTTATCAGCAGAACGAATTTCTGGGAGTGGGGCCGCTCGGTCAAAGAAGAGGTGCCTTTTAAATTTTGATCGCTACTGCCTACCTGGAGAGTGGCAGGCCGGCGTTTTCGGAAGGGACAGGAGATCAGGCAGCTGTCCCCTGGGGGCCACGTTGGGATGCTAGGCTGAGGGGCCCCTGGTTCTGCTGCCTCCTCAGTCAGCCCGCTGGAGCTTGGCTCCTCTCTGCCTCCCCGACCTCCTCAGTCCTTAGGGGGGTGGATGCCTTTTTGGCCCTTGGTTGCCTCTTGCCTATGTGGAGTCTTCAAGGTCAGGGCTGCCCTCCATCCCTCTGTGCCTCAGGCTCAGCCCGGGGCCTGACACCACGAACGGGGACAGTGCCCGTTACCTCTCCTGGCCAGCCGTGTCCCAGAGTTGCAGCACGAAGCATTTGTTGTCCACCAGCAGAGTTTTGACCCGAAAATCCACTCCTAGGACACACAGAGCAAGGTCAGGCCTGCCTCCTCATAACAGCCCTGAGCTGGTAGAGACTTTTCCACCTGCTGCTGCCCTGGCAGTGGTTGCAACCTTGCCTGCCCCCCCACCATGCTCTCCGCAGGAAGTGGCAGCCTGGGGGTCCTGACTCAGCAAAATGGTGAAGCAGAAATTTGTCTGTAGCATCCGCTTCCCTTTATTACCCTCTTTCCTGAACGTCTTAGGAAGCCCAGGGTCTGCAGGAACCTCTGAGCTTATCTGACCCCCCACCCACTCCCGTGATAATGTCCAGCCTCGGCTTAAATCCCCACCGTGTAGTCTATGAACGACTAACAAGTATGTCTCACCTTTCCTAACTCCGCATTAAGCCCACTGTTCCTCCTCCCTGCCCACCCGCTCCTCAATCCACCCACGTGGTCCCCTATACTGTCCCCCAAACATGTTATAACTTACCCACACAAATCGCTAAGAATATAAGGGTTGTCTCCTCCCAAGGAATCTGCTACTTAACAGGAGCAGCCCCAGGGAGAGAGTCGTGCTGAACCCAGCACAGGCTAAAACTTCTGGGGTGAGGCATGTGCCCTGAAGGCAGGAGACCGTGGGTCTGAACTTTGGGCCCCAGCAAGGGCAGGACCCTTAAGCAGGTCCTCACTGATCTGTTTCCCTCATCTGTAAAATGGGGATATGGAAAAGCCTGGCCAAAAATGCACATTCAGCTATAACTCCATTGGTTCTGGCTCTGGTCCTCCACCCAGCCCTGTTCTCGAATGCCCGCAGGCTAGAGTTCTTATCGTCTGAGAGAGGGGGTGGGAATGGAGGAGGTGAGGCCGAGAGCAGCAATGTTCTCAATGGCGGAAGCCAGAATCGGCCCCATTGATGGTGAAGCCCGGTGGATGACCGCCGCCAGGGGGCGCCAAACCGCAGCTGGCCCCGGGAACGATGTGGCTCACCCCCCTGGATCCCGGACGCTCCCGGCAGTGCGTGCAGGCTTGTCCTGTCTTTTTACAATTACGCAACCTGTGTTTTTCTTGATTGAATTCTGTGGAACCTTCTTATCACATAATAATGGGGGCAGGTCCGTTAGATAGGGAGGGTTCTGTAAGGAAGGAGGCTTGGAAGATGCTTTGGTGCACTGTGGGTGGTCAGTAACCAGGACTTTAGGTGATTCATAACAGTGGCCTTGCAGACCCTGTGACCCTGCCCAACAGCAGACCAGGCCTGCTATGGGTTCTCGGTTCCCCAGGACACTGAATTTTTAACTGGTTCCCCCGGGGAGGACTCAGAAAAAAATCTCAGAACCCATCTTGGAGCTACTGTTGCATGAAGACTATCATCTACCCACTGGTCTGGCCCTGGTCCCCAGGTGGCATGCACCTTGACGACACAAACACATGGATTCCCCTCCCCCCATCTCTGTGCCTAAGTGCGTCCCCTCTTCATTCCTGAGCTTGCATTTCTGTGGCTCTATACAATGCCAAATTGTCACAGATCCCAAAGTTTGTAGGTAGAGGAGTCTTTGTGTTTGGGAACATCTTATTTGGGGGGCCGCTGAATTAGACATGATCAAATATTTACTTATAATAATAGCAATAAAAATAATATTTACTGAGCCCTTGCCACATGCCAGATATTATTCTAAGAGCTTGACATGTAGTAACTGACTCATCCTTACAACTATTCTAAGAAGCCAGTACTCTTGTCCCCATTATGCAGATGAGGGATTGGGAGCTCAGAGGGGTTAAGTAATCTGCCCAAGTTCATCTTGCTCATCGGTGGCAGAGATGGGATTTGAACTCAGGTATCTGAGTTCCTAACTGACCATACTCTAGAAATACATTCTGTGTAAAATACTCAACTTGCCCAAGGCAACTTCCTGCCAGAGCTTGGCTGACGGGGCTGGGGCTAATCGTGAACAAAGGCAGGCAACGTGGACCCTGCAGTGGCCTGCCCACAAGCCATGTGGGTGGGGACTTGCTTGTTTTCACTAGCAGCCAGTTCTGGCACCTAAATTGCAGGGTGCTTTGTTGATGTGACGCATTATAAGCTAATCAGATCAATGCAGCAAAGCAAATTACCTATAATTAGAGATAATTAGTAAAATAGTAAGATTATGCCCATATAAAATAAAGTCTAATGCAGGGCCTGTGGCCAGGACAGAACCTGCAGCTTCCCCGGGAGATGGCTCTCTGCGGCCCCCCTCTGGCTCCTGGGCGCCAGGCCCTGGGTCTCCCCTGCCTCCGCAGCGCCTTGCTTCCCAGGTGGGCCCTTACCCACAGTAGCTGTCAGCCCGGTGGCGAAGGAGTTCTGGTGCAGCAGGTGCAGGAAGGAGGTTTTGCCCACGTTTGAGTCTCCCAGGAAGATGACGTGGAAGAGGTAATCAGCGTCGGCGGGAGGCTCACTGGCGGTGGAGGACCCTGGGGATGAGGTCGGCGCAGCCTCCGTGGAGTCAGTTCGTGGGTCTGGAGGCCTGTGATCTGCCGTGGGCTCCCTGGATCGAAGGGAGCCTTGTTCTTCTGCACGAGCAGTAGTAGGGGAGGCCGTGGGTTGGGCTTCCAGCTCAACCATGGTGGGGGCGCTCTGCGTGTGCTCCTGGGGCCCTGCTCCACCCCCAGGCTGAGCGCCCTCCTGGGGAGAGTCCAGGGGAGGTGGCTGTGTGCTAGGAGCTTCTGCTTCAGCCTCAGCCCGTGGTGTGTCACACAGGAGAGGAGCAAGCAGATGATCTTGCTGGGGGAGTTCTGAATGCCCAGCCTTCAGGCCACGAGCCTCACCTGACTGCTCTGAACTGAGGTCTTGCCCTCCTTGGCCCACCTGTTTCCTTTCCTTCACCCTGGGCTCTTCTTCCAGACGCTCGTGGGAAAGGGCAGGCAGCCCATCTGGCCCCAAGACCTGGCCATGAGCTTCTCTTGGCCCCCCAGGAGGGCCCTCCTGCACACCCAGGCCCAGCTGGCCCTGCTCCAGTCCCTCTGTGGGAGGCTGACCCACAGGCTCCAGATCCTGGGAGGGTCCAGCCGGCCCTAGTGTGAGGGCTCGGGCTCCTGGGGACCCCAGTCCTGGCTCAGGGCCAGGGACGTGTGGGTCCTGATAGAGGGCCTCGCTCTGCCTGGGCCTCTTGTCTGGGACAGCCCCAGGCCCGGGGCTCTTGTCATCTGGGTGTGAAGCCTGGAAAGGTTCACTGGGCCCAGCTGGGGCCTGGGGAGTGGGGGAGATCGCCTGGGGAGGGGGTGCATCCTCCAAAGGAACGAGCATTTTGAGGGCAGCTGACACCAGGCTCCCTGACTCCCCAGTTGGGGCCCCTGGGAAACTCCAGTGGGAGAGGGCCTCAGGGCCAGGCGCTGACTCCTCCTTAGGTTCCAGGCTGCGAGGCTGGACAGGCTGCTCTGGTCTGCTGTCCTGCTCATCTGGGCCCACTCCTTTCCCTTCCTTGGCCCCGGAGGGCGCCACAGTGGGGCTCCTTGGGGCCCCGGCCAGATCTGAAGGGGCCTCCTGACCAAGCAGCAAAGCATGTGGCTCTGAGATGGAGATCTGCCTGACTACTCAGGGTGTCTGGGGCCCTGAAGGGGTCCTCGGGGTTGGAGGTGGGCTCCAGGAGAGCTGCAGGGCTCTGCGCGAGGAGGTGTTGAAGTTGCTCAGGAGCTGGTGCCAGTCATCCTCCTCCCCAAACAGTCCGGGCAGGGGAGCCTCCTCAGAGGAGACTGCCTGGACATCTAGAGCCTTCTCGTCACCTGCTCTGGGGACACTAGGAAGGGTTTAGGAAGCTAAGGTCAGAGGAACCTCTCCCAATTGGTAACACCTCACAGGGGACCCCTTTCCCCAGTCTCTGCTCAGGCAGTCCTTCTCACTCTGCATGCACCCCCGTTCCTCCCCTTCATCCAATCCTGCCCATCTTTCGGGGCCTATGTGAAGCCTCACCTCCTCCAGGAAGCCTTCCCTGACCTTTCTGGTCCATCCCACTCCTCTGAGCTGTAACAGGTAGAGTGAGTGTCTGCCTGGGATCCATTATTACGCTAGACCGTGTGTGTGTGCGCGCGCGTGTGTGTGCGCGCGCGTGTGTGTGCGTGTGCGTGTGTGCGTGTGTGTGCGTGCGCGTGTGCGTGCGTGTGTGTGTGCGCGCGTGTGCTTGTGTTTGAATCCCAGTTGTGGGACTGGGCACATGACTTTCCCCCTTCTCTGTGCCTTAGTTCCCTTGTCTGAGAAGTGGGCCTGAGCATGTCGGCCTGGCAGGATTGTTGTGAAGTTTAAAAGGCCACAAAGCCACTGGCAGTGACTATGGGCTACAAGACCTGGGATGTCGGGGCAACAGGGAGCTAGGTCAGATTCAGAGACAGTGACAGTTGTGATGGGTAAAGCACCTACTGTGTGCCAGGCACCATGCTAGGCCCTTGTGTGTGTTCTGCGTGCCGACCAGGGCCTCAGAGAACTCAGAGCCTTCCTCCCCTGTTTTCGGGAAGCCCTGCTCCCCACCTTGGCCCAGGGGCGACAGCTACTTGCCTGGGTTCCTCCTCTACCTGCCAGGACGCGTGGCCCCTGGTGGCACTCAGACGCCCCCTGGTCGCCTGCAGCTGCCCCTGCACCTCCTCCAGTCGCCCAGCCAGGTCACGCTCAGTCTCCCGAAGCTGCTGGTTCTCTGCGTTGGCCTCCTGGTGGGTGCTGCTGAGGCGGTGCAGCTGGGCCTCCAGCTGCAGGAGGTGGAAATGTGAGGAGGAGGGGAGCCCGGGTGTCCTCCAGGGCAACAACCAGCCTCCGAAGGCCACCATGGGGCCTCAACTCCAGGCTCCTGGAGACCCAGCTTCAACAAAGGATTGGGCAGGGGGTTACCCCTTGTTGGCCTGATTAGCTCCGTTACCTCCCATCCGGGAGACACACTGGAATCGAAGGAACTGGGTAAGACACACAAACTGCCGGAACCACAAGGGCCCAACACATAGACAGGATCACACCCTCCTCTGCTCAGAGCGCTGCCCTGGTTGCTCGTCTCTGAACCCCATCTGGTCCGCAGGGAGCTCCGGGGCCAACAGCAAGGCACAAGACTCGGGGATGGAGTGAGGTGTGAGCACTCAGCAGGGAAGGTGAAGCCCTCACAGTGGCATCCAGTGCCCTGCTCAGTCCCTCCCACCTCATGAGGTCTCTGCCCTCCTCTCCCACTACCCTCCCCTTCCTCGGTCTGCTCCGGCCCACGGGTCTCCTCGCTGCTCCGGGAACCCTCACGGCACGCACCCGCCTCAGGGCCTTTGCACTCACTCTTCTCTCCACCTGGACTGCCCTTCTCCAGGTACCACACAGCCCACTCCTCATCTCCTTCAGGCCTTTACTCCAACGTCAGCAACTCAGTGAGGCCTTCCTGGATTCCCCTGTCAAAACCCTCTAGCCCCCTGCCCTGCTTCCCTTCATTCTCCTTAGCACCTTCACTCTCCAGCATGTTATAGATTTTACTTGCTTACTTTGTTTATCATCCATCTTCCTGACTAAGGTTATAACTCTGTGGGCAGGGGTTTGTGTCTCTCACGTTCCTCGGGACCTAGAACGGTGCCAGGCACCAGAAGGCACGCCACAAATAATCGCTGGGTGAAGGAAAGAATGACCTCGGGGGAGAGGCTTCACGTCCGCAGGGGACAGGACAAAATGGCCCCATGTGGAAAGGCCAATCCCCTCCCTTGGCTGATGGGGCCAGCCTCAATTTCCAAAGAGCAGCTGCTGCAGAGGCATCTGGAAATCAGCCCGTGTTGGGAAGCTGGGACCAGGTGACAGAGCCAGGCAAGGCAACAGTGGAAAAGGCTCCCGAAACTTTGTCCAGGGCTGAAGGAAAGCTGGTTGCCCTGGTTCCATCAGATGGTGGAACTAAGATCAGCGGTCTGGGAGTTGAGAAAGGAAGAGATGGTGGGGCAGGGTCTCAAACCCAAAGACTTAGCCACAAAGCCACTGGCAGTGACTATGGGCTACAAGACCTGGGATGTCGGGGCAGCAGGGAGCTAGGTCAGATTCAGAGACAGTGACAGTTGTGGTGGGTAAAGCACCTACTGTGCGCCAGGCACCATGCTAGGCCCTCAAACATGGTATCTCTAGTCATCCCAGCAGCCTTCCAGGGCAAGGGTTCTGATCTCCGATTCTCTGATGAGGAAACCAAGAGAGCTTAAAAACCTGCCCCAGTTCACTCAGTTGACAGTGGAGACAAGAGTTGAACACTACCTTATCACTAAGCCTCTCCGACACAGGGACCTCATGTTTGCCCAGTGCCTTCCCGTTGCAATGTGCTTTCCCCTTCATTACATTATTTGACCCAACCAGCCTAGGAGATGCAGGAGATGTGGCTAGTCCCATTTTACAGATGGAGAACTAAGGCCAAGACAAGCAAAGTTATTGCCTCAGATTTGCATGGCTCTTAATTGGAACAGCTGGAATTCGAACCTGGAAATTCCCGGCGGTCCCTCTGCACTCCCTGGCCTCATCTCAGAAAAGGGGGCCCAACCACCCCCATGAATTCTCAGAAGATGGGTGTCAGAGATTGGGCACCCAGGCAAGCGCTCTCACTCACCTCCCTCTGGCCCTCCGTCAGCTGTTGAAATTCGCGCTCCTTGGCCTCCAAGACCTCCTGCATCTGGGAGCTGAAGGCCAGGTCCCGGGAGTCGCTCTGGGGAGCAGAGAGTTTTCAGCAGCCGAGCTGCTGACTTAGTCCCCGCAAGGCCGGGCCAGCCGTCCCCACACTCCACCTCCACCCAGGCCTGGGGCACAGGGTCCGGGATGCCCTGGCAAGGCCAGGTCCCAGGACAGCTCGCCTGGCTCAGGCCAAGATGTGGCACCAAGATGGAGGCCCAGAGAGCAAGACCTGGCCGAGATGGGCGGGGGGGCTGAGGCCCAGCGCTCCCCCCACGTCTCTCTGAGGAATGCCAGCCGGGCAGGGGGTGAGAGGGCCTTCCCCCAGCGGCCTCCTGCTGTCCCGCACTGGCCAGTGCCCGGACCCACGACTCAGCTAGCAGAGGGGCCCAGGGCCGGAGTCAAGGGCGGGCTGCCAGGGGAGGCCACCTCGGCCTGCAGCTGCTCCTTCTCCCTGTGGATCTGCTGCTCCATCTCCTCATAGAGCTGCTGGACCTCTCGGTGGTGGTCGGAGTCCCGCCTGGAAGGGGAGGGGGCGGGCCGGGCAGCAGGTGAGCACCCGGGGACCCTGCTGCTGGCGGGGTGGTCTGGGCCTGGGTTTGGAGTCCATCCCACTGCTCACCTCACTCTGCCAGTGGTCACTGACCCCTGTCACCCTGAGAGCAATCATCCCAACAACAGCCCCTCATGCGTACGCCCTTGACGTTGGTCATCCTGATCCCATCATGCTGACTCCTGTAACCCTCACCAAGATATTGGTTCCCGTGGCCCCGTCCCAAGGTCCCAATCGCCCCATCACCCTGTCCCCACTTCCCGCTGTCTCCATTCCCCACCCCCAAACCCAGACCCCCGGGCAAGGCTCTGTCCATGCCCACCCCGGGGTCGCCGCATGCTTTGTAATCTACATGAGCAATGCCCCCGGAGGTGGGGCCCACAGTGGCCCTGTGCCAAGACGCACTGGCCATTCCCACTCCCACTCGAGGCCCGTCTCTGTCCTCTTCAACAGGTCCCCTAAGCCATCCCTTCTTCCAGCTCAGCTACGCCCACCAGCTCCCAGGCCTGCCCTGGACCCCTGGCCTCCAGGCTTCTGGAGCTGAGGGAATTCCCCTCATGCTCAGCTAAAATGTAAGGAGCGCATACTCCATGCCAGACACCAGGTGGCCGCCCCCCCCCCCCTCAACCCCGGCCCCACTCACTTCCTCAGGGTCAGCTCCAGAACCTCCTTGTCAGCCCGTGCCTTCTGCAGGCGGCTGCTCATCCTGGCCAGAAAGCCCTCCAGGTTGCCTGCCACCTGGGGCTCCTCCTCCCGCAGCTTCCCCCACAGCTGCCAGATGTCCGCCTGCCTGGGGAAGGGGGACAGCCAGACACGAGGTATGAGGTGGGACCCAGAAGCAGGGGGGCCCACTTCTCCATTTTAAGGCAACACTCCAAGAGACTTGGGCACCTGGGCCACAAAAATCTGTTTATACCCTACAAGGTACAACTCCAGTTGCCACCTCCTCCAGGAACCTTTCCCAGATGTGCCCTCTCCCTTATTGAACCCCCACAGCACTTTGTCTCTCCATGCTTTGGTGATGAATTATGGCAGGGGGTGGGGGTGGGGTGGAGGAATTGGGAGCCTGACGACCCAGGGCTGCCATCTGCCTTCTCTCTTCTCCCACTCTGTAGCTGTGTGACCTTTGGCAACTCCCATGCCCTCTCTGGGCTTCTTTGTACAATGAGGAGGCGGATACTTGCCCGGTAAGGTAAGGTCGCTGCAGAATGAGACATGCCCAGTGACAGCCCCAGCTTGGGGCCTGCACATGGCTGGCGCTCAATTAATACTGCTTTCACCTGGATTTCATTAAGTCATGAAGACAGATGCCAGACGGCTGAGCCCAGGCCAAGCTGCCAAGGGGGTAACCGGTTCCCCACCACACCCGCCCCCCAGCCGGTACCCTAAGTCCCGCCCGGCGTGCCCTACGACACTCGGCCCCACTCTCTGAGAGCTTGTCCTCACAGAGCCTGTAGGTACCACAGGCAAGGGTGAGTCCCTCGCTGGCTCTAAGAGACCCAGGGGGCCCTGGAGGGGTGTGAGAGGGGCATTTATAGGCAGCGGCCCCCTTTCTCTGGGCCTGAGTGAACCCCATGAGCCCAGAGCCTGAGACAGTTTGGAGGAAATGCCCTCCCTGCCTCCAAACCTGCCCAAACCAGGGCATCGTTGTATCTGAACCACTCCACTGGGGGACCGTCTTTTTCGGTTAGGAAAGGCCCCCTCAGGCAGTCGTGTTTTTAAGAACATGAGTACCCTTGGGAGGCTGATACCCCAACCCGCTAATCCTGCGGAGCAATCATATAGGGCAGGACAGAGAGAGAGCGGGTGGGGGTGGGAGGGACTCCTCACAAAGACACTCTCCACACGGGCTCATTTAATCTCATAACTGTCCCTGCGATCGCACTGTGGCTGGAAGACAGATGTCAAAGGTTAGGCCACTTGCCCATGGCCAACAGCTAACACGTGGCCAAACCAGGATTTGCACCCAGCTCTACTTGGTGGCCTCCCACCTTGGCACTGTGTCCAGGCGAGTCCTCCGCCCCCGCTGACCTCCCCACTGCCTGCCGCTCTCCCCCACCCCCCCACCCCCCCACCCCCCACAGCGCAGTGCTGGCCTTACTCCGGAAGTAAGTGGCCTGCCCCCAGCTGCTGGAGGAAGGCAAGGAACGCCTCCTTCTCCTCAGGGTCAGCCTCCTCTGGCACTGGGAAGCTGGTGGCTGCAGATTCTCTCTTGGAGGACAGTGGCCTCTTTCTGTGGAGCCTGCGGGTGCTCAAGCTGGAGCCAAAGATGTTCTCTGGGGGACAGAGGAGGACAAAAGGCCGCAGAGTGGGGTGGGGCTCAGCCCCCCGATCTCCCATCTGGCCCTGCTCCAGACCTTGGGGAAATAATTATATCTGTGTTGGTCACATATATACAGGGTCACGTTCATGCATTCGTCATATTGTCCTTGGGAATCTACTCAAGGTTGACATTCTGCCCATTTTATGAGCTGTAAATGCAGATTCCTGGCCTCCCTCTCCGTTGTCCCCCAAACTTTTGGAGACTCAGCAGACCTGAGAACGCTGGATGGCTTTGCAGACATTTAAGTCTGAGCTGTGCTTTGCAGGGTCTCGGCAAGGACATCACACCTTCCACTCCCTGGGCGGGCAGGTCAACCCGCATCGAGAAGATCAGTGGGAATATTGTGCTCTGCTGACCTTGGCCTTTTTAGGTCCTTTTGGGCCTGTCTTGAGAAGCTGACTTTGGAGTGGCCCTCCCCAAAGCAGGGCAAAGGGCCTGGGAAGCCCCCAACCACTAAATATCACCCTCTGCTGCTCCCTGGGGCCTGGAATTCCCTTCACCAAAGCCAGAATGTGACTTTTCTCAGGCAGAAACAAAGCCTGTGGTCTCAAGAGCGGGGCTTGCTTAACCTCCTGCTCAAGGGAGCCTTTTGTTGGGGAGAAGATAAGTGAGGCATCAGAAAGTAAGCCTGGAGGTCTCCCTGGAGGAGGGGGATGCTAAGAGGAGCCCCGCCCCCCCCCCCCAGCCGAGGAAGCGAGTGGGTCTCCTGGGCTAGAGTCTTAAGGCCCAGCCCCATCTTAAACCAACTGCCTGCCCACACAGGCTTAGTATGCCCATCTCCAGTATAATCATCATCCATGCCCTGGACTGCTCTCAGGGCTGTTGCGGAGGTGCCCTGTTGCCTTTCATGTCAGTCCAGCCTCCCCGTACTGGGCACGCCACATGGGATGCCTGGCTGGACGGCAAGTCCCCAGAGACCCCCCCAGGACAGACATACTGAGCCCAGAGCTGAATTCTTCCAGGGAGAGGCGTCCCTTTTGCTCCACATCCACCCAGTCAAAGATCATCTCCAGCTCCTCCGCACTGCCCAGGAAGCTGAACTTGGCCGCCTGCAAGGAAGAGGTAAGTTGGCACTGTTCCCACTGGGGAGGACTCTGGGCCACCCTCCAAAAAAGAGAGGTGTTTGTCTTCAGACACCCCTACCTCCCCTCTCCCCAGCTTTGGAGTCCCAGCCCCAAGCTGACCCAGGGCCTACCCTGGAGGCTCCGGGACACCACCCCCCCAAGATGGCTCTCTCAGCAGGGCCCTGAACTCCCTCTGCACCTTTCCCCTTCCTCCATCCAACACCAGAACTTAACTCTTCTGAGTCTCATCCCTTTAGGATCCTAATAAAGGACAGTAGCTAATCCTCCCCAGGATGTGTTTATTGGTATCCCAGAAAATTATCTGAAATTTGAGAATAAGTCCAAAAGGTGGACAGCACACTCTTTCAGCATTCCACGGGGGCAAAGTTTACCCAAGCATCTTCTGGACTATAGGAACGTACTTCATTTCATCCCCTGGGACAGACTGGAAGTCCCAGACTAAATGAAGTCACCTATTAACTTGTAGATTTTGTCCAGGAGAGATGTAAATAATTTTTGTCTGCTGGAACAGATAACCTCAAAGATTTATGGCCTGTTGTACATTAACCAGCTTTGAAAAAATCTAACTCAGCCATCTCGTTCTAACACTTTTTGTTATCCATTTTTTTTAATGCTCTTTCAACCATTCATGGCATCTCTCATTAATGAGCTAAATAAAATCTTTGAGAGGGATTTATTTTATTTTTGCCCAAGGGTCATGATTTTATCTTTTTGAAAATTATATTTAAGAGTTTTGGAGGGGCGCCTGGGTGGCTCAGTCGGCTAAGTGTCTGCCTTCGGCTCAGGTCATGATTCCGGGGTCCTGGGATCGAGTCCCATATCGGGCTCCCTGCTCAGCGGAGAGTCCGCCTCTCCCTCTCCTTCTACCGCTCCCCCTGCTTGGGCTCTCACTGTCTTTGTCAAATAAATAAATTAAATTAAATCTTTAAAAAAAGAGTTTTGGACATTTCGTGGAGACACCCCAGTAAACTCAGCCATCAGAACCAAGTAACATGGGTGCTGACGAAGGGCCCCTCGTGGGCTTTGGGAAACCCAAGCACCTCCTCCCTTGGCTCTTGGAGAGAATCCCATGTGTGACAGAACTTTAGGTTTGCTGTTTATTCTGTTGTTTGTCTTTTTTTTTTTTCTTGCTGATTCTGTGTTTTCATTTTTGGTGGCAGCAATGATGGGGAATTCCATTTTATGGACTGGCCATTGGTGATCTCTGTGGGATGCATGATGGAGAATTAGTGTCTGTTGGTTGAGAGGCAACCGAAAATCTGATTTGCTGATCTTTGTTGTTGTTGGTGGTGGTGGTGGTTTTTCTATGTGTACTCCGAATTGGTGAAGCGTTTTGTGCTCACTAGGAAGGAGAACAACTCTTTGAGATCTGGACTGGTGAGTTTTGTGTGTCTGTGTTTACTTTTGACCTGTGGCCTGGAACTGAGGGTACGAAGCCACTGGGTCTGTGTATCTGTGTGTCTACACATCTGTAATTCAGAAAAGCCTTTAACTCTTCTGTGAGTATGAAATACTTTTCTACATCTGGAGGGTATTAATGACTTGAGTACTGTGTCTCTTACAGGGTTCTGTGTTGATTCGTTTGTAGAGACAAATAAGTGCTTATATAAATTTAATGTTCCCCCAAATCACATAAAATAAAGAAACTGAATTTCTAATGTTTTAAATGTGCTAAACTTTAAAAGAAAAAATCCCTTTTATGAGAAATTGCTAGCTCAGAAAACTTTTAAGGATCCAGGTTAACATAATTAATGTAAATCTTTGGATAAATTAGATTGGTTTAGTAATTTTGTTTATAAAATGCAAATAATAGCTATCAGTGTTTTCTTTGCTTTATATTAACTATAAATAGTTAATTATACTACAATTAAACATTCTACTTTTTATGAGATCTGGATTTGTTTTATGTGAAGAAACTATTTAATCTGAATTTCTTACACTTCTGATTTTGTCTTACTGATCAAATAAGCCAACATTATCCTTACATAATGTTTTAAGATAAGAAAAATGTAAAATTGTGTTCAACTACATTGATTCATTACGCAGTTCCAAGATCCTTAGGTAACTTTAAAAATGTGAATTAATATTAATTAATAAATAATTTTTGGCTACCTGGACAATTTCTGAGAAAAACTGAAACATTGATTGTTAAGCATAATTTTAAGTTTATATCTTTTTACTTCTAATTTTTACATGCAAGAAAGCTGCTATAACTTTGGGCCATGTTAATGAGTAAATTCATTCTTGCCACCTTATTTTTTTTAAGATTTATTTGTTTATTTGAGAGAGAGAGAGAGCAGATGGGGTGGGGAGAGGGACAGAAAGAATCCCAAGCAGACTCCCCACTGAGCCTTGAGTCTGACCCAGGGCTTGATCTCCTGACCCTGAGATCATCACCAGAGCCAAAACCAAAAGTCCAAAGCTTAACCATCTGAGCCACCCAGGCGCCCCCATTCTTGCCACTTTAAGTAGTTGTGCAAGGCAAAGCAGAGACTCAAGACTCAAGTAGATATTTGTACACCCCAACTTCATAGCAGCACTATTCACAGGAGCCAAAGGATGGAAGCAACTCAAATGTCCACTGAAGGATGAACAGAAAGACAGAATATGGTCAATAATACAGTGGAATATTGTTCAGCCTTAAAAAGGAAGGCAATTCTGACCCCTGCTATAGTATGAATGAACGTTAAGGATATCATACTAAGTAAAAGAAGCCGGTCACAGAAAGACAAATGTATTTTCCCACTTATATGAGGGACGTAGAATGATCAAATTCATAGAGACAGAAAGGAGAGTGGGGGTTTCTGGGGGCTGGGGAGAAAGGAGAATGGGAATTAGTGTTTAACTGGGACAGAGTTTCAGTTGGGGAAGATGAAGAAGATCTGGAAATAGGCGGTGGTGATGGTTGTACAACATTGTGAAATGTACCTAATGCCACTGAGCTCTACACATAAAAATGCTTAAAATGGCAAATTTCATGTTATGTATATTTTAAGACAATTTTTAAAAGATTATTTATTTATTTATTTATTTGGGGGGCAGAGCACGAGTGGCGGGGAGGGGCAGAGGGAGAAGGAGAAGCAAACTCCCCGCTGAGTAGGGAGCCCAATGCGGGGCTCGATCCCAGGACTCTGGGATCATGATCTGAGCCGAAGGCAGACGCTTAACCGACTGAGCCACCCAGGTGCCCCTTTTATGACAATTTTTAAAAACTTTTGCAAGGCATATGTGTGGCTGTAAAATGTTGTGTTATACCTGTTTGTGAGCTTTGCTAAGTCTACTAAAATGCTTGAATAACACAGACAGTGCTCACTTATTTGTAGCCCAGCTATTTCTGTGAAATAGAGGTTAGTTACTTTGGTTAAAAGTTAACAATCACTATGCGCACCTGGGTGGCTCAGTCGTTAAGCGTCTGCCTTCGGCTCAGATCATGGTCCCAGGGTCCTAGGATTGAGCCCCGCATCGGGCTCCCTGCTCAGCGGGAAGCCTGCTTCTCCCTCTCCCACTCCCCCTGCTTGTGTTCCCTCTTTCACTGTCTCTCTCTCTCTGTCAAATAAATAAATAAAATTTTTAAAAAAAGTTACAATCACTTCGGATGTTTGAAACTATACTAGGACCAACAGGGACAGAGAGATACCGCTGTGTCTGCAAGGAAAATGGGACACATTTTGACTTTCCAAATAAGGAAGTGGTTTTGTCTTAAGTGTCTGATTGTTCCAGAACATGAAAAGCGATGAAAATGCAAACCTGAATTGGATACAGACAGTTGTAGAGGGTTTGCTGAAAGGGAATTTTAGTTGCCTTGATTTATAAGACCCAAGTCTGAAAATAAGCTATGAAATAGGTTAACATTTTGCCAAGTGCCAAATTTGGCTCAGTTTTAATGGGCTTAAAAATAAATACTTTTTTAAAGTTGTGAAACTTTTACTGCCACATGTTATATTAATGCAAAACTAGAATTCAGCTGTATCTCTATTAAAATGATAAATTGGTCATAGAGCTCTTAGCAAGAGTTAAAAAGAAGCTACTATTTCTCTTCTGTGTAAACTGCCCAGATAAATGATTCCATATTGTCAACAGAATAAATTTCTCTACTTTATTTTGGCTTGATCATCTTTTCAAGTAAAAAAAGAAATTAAAAATCTAAGGCACCTCTCTTATGAAAGAGCTAAATATCCTTGTAATCATGTTACCTACCTTCTTCTGTGTTTATCTCAAAATATTTTATTTTATTGTCACTTCGATTCAATAGGTAACCAAGTACTATTTCTCAGGCTCCTTTGATCCTATCTGAATCTAGTGGCCAAAATCTTCTCTGATAGCTCTTCTGATTTTGCCTTTCCAATATAAGATCCTAAATTTCAGGAAAAAATAATAACATTTTAGGATATCCTTCTCTGTATTTATTAAATACTTCACCATTGTTATAAGAGCAGAATGGGCAAGAAATAACAAGTGTTGGCAAGAATGTGGAGAAAAGGGAACCCTTGTGCACTGTTGGTGGGAATGTAAAGTGGTGCAGCCACTCTGGAAAACAGTATGGCTGTTGCTAAAAAAATTAAAAATAGAACTCCCCTAGGGATCCAGCAATCCCACTTCTAGATATTTACCCGAAGATAACAAAAACACTAATACGAAAAGATATCTGTACTGCCATGTTTTCATTGCAGCATTATTTATAATAGCTAAGGGATAGAAAGAACCTAAATGTTCATAGATGGATGAACGGATGAAGATATGATATGGTGTGTGTGTGTGTGTGTGTGTATATATATATATATATATATATATATATATATACACATATATATATATAATGAGTCATTATTCAGCCATATAAAAGAATGAAATCTTACCATTTGCAACAACATGGATGGACCTTGAGGTCACTATGTTAAGTGAGTTATGTCAGACAGAAAAAGATAAATACTTACGCAAACAATGAATCACGGAACACTACATCAAAAACTAATGATGTAATGTATGGTTACTAATATAAAAAAATTAAAATAAATAAATAAATAAATACTGAATGAGCTCACTTATATGTGGAATCTAAAATCAACCAACCAACCAACCAACCAATAAACCGAAAAACTGAGCTCATGAATACAGAGAACGTATTGGTGGTTGCCTGAGGCAGAGGTTGGAGGGGTGTCAAAAAAAGTACAATTTCCAGTTATAAAATGAATAAGTCATGGGGATATAATGTACAGTATGGTGACAATAGTTAATAATACTGAATTGCATCTTTGAAAGTAGCTAGGAGAGTAGATCTTGAAAGTTCTCATGACAAGAAAAAGAATTTTGTAACTGTATGGTGATGGCTATTAACTAGACTTATTGTGGTGATCATTTTGCAACACATGCAGATATCAAATCATTACATTGTATACCTGAAACGAATATAATGTCAATTATGATGCAATAAAAAATATGTGAAAAAATAATTTTCAAAAATCATAAGGAAATTCTTCAAATCCTTGATTTGAAATACAAATGTTCTTTTGGGCAATATAGATAACTTATGAAGTATTTTAAAAGTTCATTAAGATTGATTAATATGATAAAAGGATTAATTAACACAGTTATGTTTAATACCCGCTCCTAAAAGATAATGAGTTGATTATTGTCAATAAAGAGAAATCTTGGAATATTTGTTGCATGTAGATGAAAATAAAAACTGAGGATTTAGCCTGTAACAAAATCTGATAGGCTTGGGTTAGGAGAGTGGAAGTTAAATTTTTTAAGAAGCATGTATATCTATCTATCTATCTATCTATCTATCTATCTATAGTTACATATGTATAAATGTGTATGATATATATGGTTTGGGTTAAAAAAAAAACATCATGGGAAGAACCGTCAACTCAGAAGAGATGTTCAGGCTTTCCTAGGCAAGTTTCTATAGGTAAAATGCGATTCATGTAAATATTTCAGAAATTGCATGCTTTATGGGAAGGCCCTGGAGACTGCTCAGTGCATTTGCTGATCCATGATACGTGCTTATCTTCAGGGGAAACACTGATCAAACCCTACGAAATAGTTATGTGCTGTATCCCAACAGAAAACTTTACTCTCTTCCACTCTGATATTATTAGTTACGTAATAAATAACCACAGCTTTTCAGTCTCATTAGCAAAAACGTTCCTTCTTTCCTACCCTGGCCTGAAGTCTCAGTTAAGAGCTGCGGGCCACCAAGGACAGACCCAACATCTTGTGGAAAAGGACTGGGCCCGGTTCTATGAGCTACGGATGCTTCCCCTGGATACTAGGTTTCCGAGCTGAACGTTTGCGGACCTTCAGCCAAAGCTGGCAGACTGACAATTTCCAGGACTCTTGAGTTCAGAAGCAGCCAGCTCACTCAAGATCCAGCAGAACAGGAATTGTGGTTATTTGTTGGGAATATAATTGGTATTATTTTTTATTGTTCTATCTTTATGGATCTAATGAGGAAGTTGTTTCTGTCTTCTTGCGCCCTGTCTAACCTTCGGTTTAGTGGATTACTGCTTTTGTAAACTGAAGTCAAACACTATAAATGTTATCTGAATCTCACTGACGCCCCCCTGATTCAGAGACTGACACTTTTACTGGACCTCCTGACTTCCCCTGGTGATATAATGATTGACACAGATTCAGTGAGAATCTGTCCTCCTTTTTTGCTGGGATATAGTTGGATGAATCATTATGTAACCAGAGGGTCATGTTGGAGAATGATTCTCACTAATCAGATGTGACAAGTCTACTGTAAGGAACAGCCATGGCCCCAGTGTCTGCGACCTGGCCTGGAACCAGTTGATAAGGAAGGCCGCTTCTGGGCAGGAGAGGGACCTTAGAAAAATTGGGACTCTCAAGAAGAAAGGAAACCCCTTGCATTTATAGGGGCTACAGGTGAAAGCTGGTGAAGAGAGAGTCTTGGGTTTAGTTTCCTGGCTTGAAGAGAGAAGAAATAGGGCGGCCAGCTTGACCCAGTTAGCCCGAGATGTTCCCAGTGTTAACACTGGAAGTGCCACATCCCAGGCATCCTTCCAGTCCCAGACAAACTGGGACAGACATTCATTCTGGGTAGAAGAGCAAATAACGGAGGTTTGAAATCTAAGATTCTGTATGAAAACTTCTGGACAGAAGCTAAAATGGCTTCATGTTTTCAAAGTCTAGATTTGCAGAGCAAGCTCAAGGATGCCCACGTTTCATTTACACCCTTGCTGCGTGGATGGAAATAGGTGGAATGAGAATAGGCTTTTTTATATCAGGAATATACTTGGGAGATTATTTATCATCACAGAAAATTATCTGAATAATTGGAAACCTGGAAACCGGGCCAAAAGGTAGAGAGCATGTCCTTTCAAGCATTGTCTAGACTAGAGGAATGCACCCAGTCCATCTCATTGTTTATCTTTAATTAAAAGTCCCAGACTTGCTGAAGTTACTTGTTAACTTGCAGATTTTTGCCCGGGAGAGATGAAAATAATTTTTGTCTAGTACAACAGATAACCCCAAAGATTTACGGCCTGTTGGACATCAGCCATTTTAAAAATTGAACTCAGCAATCTTATCTTAACACTCTCTTGTCAGATTGCCTTCAAATACTGTATCCTAGCTTCTCACATGCTTTTGAGCCAGTTGTGACATCTTACTGGTTCCTTCATTAATTAGTAATAATAATTAATTATAAGGCCTTTGATAAGTGTTGATTTTATATTTACTTGATTTTATATTTACGTTTTACCCTTTTGAAAATTATACATAGGGATGCCTGGGTGGCTCAGTCAGTTAAGCGTCTGCCTTTGGCTCAGGTCATGATCCCAGCGAGCCCCGCATCGGGCTCCCTGCTCTGCGGAAGCCTGCTTCTCCCTCTGCCTGCCGCTCCCCCTGCTTGTGCTCTCTCTCTAACAATAAATAAAATCTTTAAAAAAATGAAAAATTTATATATATATACATAAAATATATATATTGAGGGATATATATACACACATATTGAGGGAGTTGGTGAAGGCCCCTCTGAGAAAATCATTCTTATTTATTTATTTATTTATTTATTTATTTATTTATAAATGATCTCTATGCCCAACGTGGGACTTGAACTCACCACCCCTGAGATCAAGAGACACACGCTCCACTGACTGAGTCAGTCAGGCACCCCTGAAAATTCTATTTCAACTTCGGCCATTGGTACCTTGTTGTGGCCCTGAGGACAGACCACAGGAAAGGTCAGTTTTGTTGGGGGCAGAACAAAGTCTGGAGCATGGAGCAGTGTCCGGAGGAGACAGTTGTCCCAGGGAGACTTCAGCAACCCACATAGACCCCTTTGCAGAGAATGAGGAAAACCCAAAGAAAAACTGGTCAGTGTTGGTCTGCGCCAGAGCCCAAGACTCCTTACTGGAACACACAACCATGGCTGATCTTATGTGTCATTGACGTTTCTAGTTATTGACGTTTCTAGTCATTGACATGGTTTGATTTCCAGGACTCTGACTGCTCCCCAGGATAAACTTCCCTGCTCCATGGGCCTAGAATTGTATCACTTGCAAGTTCCATCTTTGGCTTAAAGTCCTTTCCTTTGTTAAAATGCAAATGTTTCTGAAAGAGTGGAACACATAACACCTTATTAGCCATTTACACACAAATAAACAAATTCTTCACCTTTTCTGAGGGCAAATTTTATTATATTTATTTATTTGCCTCAGAAAACATGTGTGCTTCTCATTTAACACAGAGAACATTTCTTTGCATACAAACACTTGTATGTAAACTATGCTTTTTGGCTACTGATCTTTATATTTTGTTTAATTAACTAACTGGGGGTTTTTTAGAGAGGGAGAGAGAATGGGGGAGGGGAACAGAGAGAGAGAGGGAGAGAGAATTTTAAGCAGGCTCCATGCTCAGCACAGAGCTGGACGTGGGGCTCAATCTCAGAACCTGAGGTCATGACCTGAGCTGAAACCAAGAGTCGGACGCCTAACCAACTGAGCCACCCAGGCACCCCTAGTTAATTGATTTTTAATTGAAGTATCGTTGACACACAATGTTACATTAGTTCCAGGTGTACAACATAGTGATTTGACAAGTCTATACGTTACATTGCACTCCCAAGGGTAGGTACCACCATACAACACTATTACAATACCCTTGACTATATTCCTTGTACTGTACCTTTCATCTCCATGACTTACTCATTCCATAGCCAGAAGCCTGTACCCCCACTTCCCTTCACCCATTCCACCTGCCCTTCCACTCACTTCCTCTCTGGCAACCCACCAGTTTGCTCTCTATATTTATGGGTCTGTTTCTGCTTTTTGTTTGTTTGGTTGTTTTGTTTTTTGATTCTGCATCTAAGTGAAATCATACAGAACTGTCTTTCTCTGTCTGACTTATTTCACACAGCATAATACCCTCTAGGTCCATCCATGTTGTCACAGATGAGAAGACTCATTCTTTTCTGTGGCTGAGTAATATTCCATTGCGTATATAAGCCACATCTTCCTTATTCATTCATTCAGTCAATATCAACAGACACTAGGTTGCTTCCATTTCTTGGCTATAATAAATAACGCAGCAATGAACATAGGGCTGCATATATCTTTTTGAGTTAGTGTTTTTGTTTTCTTGGGGTAAATACCCAGTAGTGGAATTATTGGATTGCATGATATTTCCATTTCAAATTTTTTGAGGAAACTCCATACCGTTTGCCACAGCAGCCACGCCACGTGCATTCCCACCAACGGTGCATGCGAGTTCCTCTCTGAGAGCAAATTTTGGATGGGAGAAAGGGGAAAGAGCAGGCCTGCCCTGCTTTATGGGATAGGAAGTCTCAGGAGGCTCCAGAAAAGGGATTCGGGGGATGAGCTAGGGGCTTGGACTCACCGCCAGGTCCTCGCGGGTGACGAAGCCCCTCTCCTTGGCCCCACAGTCCTGGAAAAAGCGCTGCAGCTCTGCAGCCTCCGGGGAGGACAAGGACTCTGGCTCTGGGGCCACAGGGGCATCCTGGCCGTCAGCTGGTTCTCGCATCTGCCGCCGGCGGCTGGAGCCCAGCCTGCGGCCTTTCCGGGGCACTCTCTGTCCACTCTCCATGCTGCTTTGGCCTGGGGACAGAGGAATGGTGAGGTGGTACCGGGCTGCAGCACCCAGTCACTCTGCTGAAAACCCTCCCGTGGCTCCTGGAGAAAACACACCACGGCTGATGAAGCTGATTGGACGCCAGCTGTCCTCTCGGACCTCGTGACCCTCCCCCACCCCCTGGCCTCCAGCATGAGGCCTTTGCCCTTTCTGTTCCTTCTGCCTGGAATGCTTTTCCCTCGAGTTATCCGTGTGCCCTCATCTCTTTTAGATTTTGCTTGTCAAAAGTCTTCTCTGGCCGTTCTATAAGAGAGCCCCGTGCAGGATCGGTTCTGTTTTGAGGTGGGGGTGGGGACACAGGGTTGTCCAGGTTCTTGCCGTCTGAGCTGTCTCTTGCCACTCCTCCAGCTCATTCCCTCGCATCTCACCTTGAGGGATCCCTCCACCATTGCCTCCTTCCTCTGTCTCACCTAATCTTCAGTCTTTTTTTTCTCAACACCATCTCACTGCTCCTTGGACACACGCACCAGGGAATCAGTAGCTCTTATGGCCTTGCACCTGCTTCAGCCCTCTCCCTCCCACACCGTCAGTCTGTCAAGCCTGCTGAACCATTTCCATGCCTGGAATATCAGATCCTCTCCCACCTTGCTCCCTTTGTCCCAACTCCCCCGACTCTCTTATCCCCCACTTAGCTGATTATTCTTCCTCCCTCACCTTCGAGGCTGCGTCCTCCAAGAAGCCTTCCCTGCAACCATCCCCACGCTTCAAGCAGGGTTCAGTGCCCCCTAGGCTGTGGCCCCATGATGCTCTGGGCTCCCCCTACGGATGTCACTGTGCACCTTGGTCCACATTGCTCCCCGCTCCTTGACACACAGTAGGTGCTCACGTAAGGGTTGTCCACTTGACAAACTGGAGTCCTCCCAACTCTCACAGAAAGTCTTAGGTCAGTCAATTGATGAGGATTCTGACGGATAAGGATTTATCTAGGTGTGACCCCAAGGACAGAACGAAGGGAGCCTGGAGTCTGGAAGGCGTACAGTCTGGGCCTGCCCTGGGGGGAATAAGCATGGGGTATATACAACTGTATGCGGTGGGAGGGGCCTGATGTGCACCCGGGCAGGCAGTTTCCTGCAGGCCATAGGACTGGAGCCAAGCTCTAAAGAAGGCAGGTAGGATTTAGAAGCAGTGAACAACATGCACAAAGGAACACGTGCAGCATGAGACAGCCGGAACAAGAAGACCCCTCTGAGCTTTCTCCGCTGAGATTAAAGGTCACAGACAGGCTGAGTGGAGAGATGATGGGCTTCTTCAAGGGCTCTGGCACCACCGGTCCAGCCTCCCTTCAGGCCAGTTCTCTGGCATAGGCTGCATAGGATTTGAATAAAGCAATTCCTCAGCCTGCAGAGATCCCCAGACTTTAAAGTGAGGTTGAGTCTCTCTCTCTCTCTGCCAGTCTTTCTCTCTCTTTCTTCCTGTGTGCTTTATCACTCCATCTGTTTCTCTACATCTTGCTGTCTCTTGGTCTCTCTCTTGGGGCCTTCCAAGTCTGTTTCAGATGCAGGTTTTTTTTTAAGATTTGATTGATTGATTGATTGATTGATTGATGTATTTATTTATGACAGAGCGAGAGCACGAGCAAAGGGGTGGGGGTAAGAGGGAGAGGGAGAAGCAGGCTCCCTGCTGAGCAGAGAGCCCGATGTGGGACTCGATCCCAGGACCCTGGGACCATGAGCTGAGCCAAAGGCAGATGCTTAACGACTGAGCCACCCAGGCGCCCCACAGATGCAGTTTTAAGATCATAGATGAAAACTGCAGAGCCAGATCTGAAGGGCTTTGCAAAAGCCAATTGTGCACATTTCTTCCTAGCCCAGTGGCTTGGGATCAGCCACCGTGGGACTATTTACACCACGTGAGCCCGCAAACGCTACAAATCAGGGTTTTAACCCCTCAAAGAACAGTTAGCAGTACAGTATACCTCGGCCAAGAAGACATTCTTCTGCCCAAACTGTTCCCAAGATCTAGCGTGCGCTAGATTGACAAGCATTTACTGAGAACCAGCTGAATGCTGGCGCAGTGGTAAGCCCTCCTGCCACGAGGCACTGGTTCCATTAGGTGAATTAGGAAGAGGTGTGCCTTCTTCCAGACAGTCCATCGCACCATCTTGATTCAGAGATGTGGCAAAGGAGGCCCAAGAGAGGAAGTGACTTCCAGTCACAGTGCTCTGAGTCAGACAGACCTCTGCCTCTCCCAGGCCTGCCGCTTGCAAGCTGTGTGACCTTGGGCAAGTCACTTAACGTTCCCGCATCTCAGCTTCCTTACTGGAACGTGGGACTGGTATCTACCCCAGAGGGTTGCTGTGAGGATTGGACCTGATCATTCAAGTTGAAACACCACCTCCCATTCCCAGTATGGCCCACCTCCCTTTCTGGCTTTGCTTTCTCTGAGCATGTGTCATGTTCTCAGGATAGTGTTTTATTTAGCTGGTAAATTTTCCACCTCTTCTTACTGAAATGTAAGCTTCACGTGAGTTGAAAGTATACTCTTCCGTTTACTGCTCTAATTACCAAATGCCTAAAACAGTGCCCTGCATACAGTTGGCGTTCTGCAAACCCTTGTTGACTATATAAGACACATGAAGCACCTACAGATATGCCCAGCCCACAGTGGCTGCTGGATAAAAGTGGCATTGACAATGGTGGTGATCACATGGCAGGGGGTGGAGGGGGCGCGAAATTCCATTGGAGCCTCAGCAAAACTGAGTACTGTACAGATACTATTTCCTCCCACTGGACCTGTGAGGAAACCGAGGGAGGCTCTGAGATACAGAGGCCTGCCCAAGCCGTGCCCCAAGACCACTTCCTGGAGAGGTACCTCCTTGGTAGCTGAAGGCCCCTGTGTGGAATGCCGGACAGAGCATGTGTGGGACAAAGGCTTCTGGAGCAGGGCGAAGTGGGAGAGCTTTGCTTATCAGTGTAAGACTTGGAAACTCAGGGCGCCTGGGTGGCTCAGTCAGTGAAGCGTCTGCCTTCAGCTCAGGTCATGGTCCCAGGGTCCTGGGATTGAGCCCCACATGGGGCTCCCCGCTGAGTGGGGAACCTGCTTCTCCCTTTTCCTCTGGCCCTCCCCCTGCTTGTGCTCTCCCTCTCTCTGTCAAATAAATAAATAAAATCTTTAAAAAAAAAAGGACTTGGAAACTCAAGCTGCACATGTACTTCCGTTGAAGATAACATACAAGAGGCAGCAAGATAAGATTCTCAGTGCAGAAGCTTCTAGAACTGAAGCCCTGGGAGAAGAGTTTATAATGATATGGGTGCCACATATTAAATCTGCCAGGCTCCCACAAGTAAAGGAAATTAGAATCCAAAAGTACATTCCCTGTGGCCATATCCCAGGATATGGGATGTTTTTGACATGCCTTTCAGGGAGTTCCTGGTCGGGCTGCACCTCCACGGCCCATTTCCAACAGTCCCCTGGCGTTTCATAAGAAAGGAGCACCTTCTGGGGCGCCTGGATGGCTCATTCAGTTAAGGGTTCAGCTCTTGGTTTCGGCTCAGGTCATGATCTCAGGGTCGGGAGATCGTCAGGCTCTGCGCTCAGCGGGGAGTCTGCTTGATATTATCTCTCTCTGCCCCCCAGCTCCTCCCCTGCTCACTCTCTCTCTCTCTCTCTCTCTCTCTAAAAGGAAGGAAGGAAGAAAGGGAGGGAGGGAGGAAGGAAGGAGGGAGCATCCTCTGGACACCTCAGCAGCTCCCGCCCTGCCACAGCCTCAGTGATCAGTCCTTCCCTCCCTGGAGGCCGCTCAGGAGGCCTGGGGTGAAAAGGCAGCCAGAGCCCTACCATGAGCACTGCCTCAGAGTATAAACACCATCCGTTGGGGATGGCAGACTCCCCCTCATGGCCTTATAGCACACCCTAAAAATAGTCTGCACCCCTTTCACGGCCAAGCATGACAACCCAGAGATAGTGGGGACATCCTCAGTCACTCCTCACGTGCGTGTACATGGGTGCTCACACACACACACACACAGACACACACACACACGCCCTCGTCAGCCGGCTCCCACTCCCGACCACTCCCTCACGGGTCTGACAGGACATTCTTCACAGGTCGTTCGCATGTACGGAGGTCCCTGCCCACTCAGAGTCACTCATGACAACACCCCTCGGGGTCAGCCGGCGGGGCACCCCTCCCTCCTCTGCCACATTCCCCTCCCTGGATCATGGCGGCCTCACGCCCTGAACAGTCAGAAGCCCCTCGTGACCAGGAACACACATCCGCACCCTCAGACCTCCCACGTCTCCCCACATTCCTCACCCAAGAAATCATACAAAGTTGGAAGCCAAACTTGAGAGCAAATGGATCTTACTCCCAGGCAACTGTAGGAATCAGGTCCCCACTGTGGGATTGGGCTAGGGGAGCAAACACCACAGGCTTTGGGTCAGGGAAGGAGTGGAGAGCCACATAAGAAAAATGGGGTAGGGGGCAGCTATGCTGGGGTCTCCCCCATTTCCTTCATTCTTACCAAAGGGGCAAGGAACTGGGCCTGCTCCTCACTCCACTTACTTCAATAACTGCAAGTAATAGCGATGATCACTGAACCCAAATTGTCCAAATTGGTGGGTCTGAGAGACCACCCAGTGCCTCGCTCTAGTCTAGTTACCCTCTCTTCCCCTCACCGACTCGATAGAAAAACCAAGGCTCTGAGAAGCCAGGTAACTTGCCCAAGGTCACACGGCCACTTAAGGTAGGCAATCTAGTCCAGTCCCCTGCCCAAGTGCCCTCATGAGACCATGCAGGGAGCTCCAAACTCTCGAAAAAAGAGGCCTCAGACCTTTGTACCCTTGTCATAAGAGCCAGATGGAGACCCAGACTGCTCCTTCTCCCATCCTCACCCCCTCCAAAGAAAAGAAGCATTGCAACTCCAGGTGGCTCCCACCTCTCAAAGGCTCCCCGTCGTGCACACAGTCCTGGCCTCCTGGACCTGGTGATGAGGCAACCGCTGCCCCCAGGAGCCCACGAGCTCTGGAACTGTTAACAGTCTTGTCTCTTGCTTAATCACTCTTTCCGTTCCCCAGCAAGCCAATCTTCTGTGTTATCTATGGGACTTCCTGTAGAAGTGAACACTGGGTGTCCTTTCATAATCTTGCCTGGTACTCCCCAGGCCCCTCACCCTAGACTCTTAGAACTGGAGACTGCTAGAAATGGGAGGGAGGCCCTTGCAAGCAGAGGCTCTGAAGGGTAAGATGGGCTGGTCAAGGTCACTCAGCTTTCAGTGGCAAAACCAGAACTTGGACCCTAGGCTCTGGTTGCCAGCATGATGCTCTGTCTTATCCCGGCCAGAGTGTTGATAGGCACGGTTATGGCTAAAGCTGGGTATATGGACCATCCTGGGGTAACTGCACACCGTGCCTTCCCTCAGGTCCTCAACCTCAGACGGTGAGGAAAACCAGGGCAGGCCTACATCCAAATCATCTTTTAGACAATAGTCTAACTTAATACCAAAATATACTATAGAGGCACAACCACCAGAAGAGTGTGGTACCCGCGCCCGAATATACAAGGGTGACTCCATGGAACAGAATTGACAGGAATAGACTCAAGTACATATGGGAATTTAATGTATGTTAAAAGTGGCATTTCAGGGACAACTGGGTGGCTCAGTCAGTTAAGCGTCTGCCTTCGGCTCAGGTCATGGGATCAAGTCCCGCATCAGGCTCCCTGCTCAGCGGAGAGTCTGCTTCTCCCTCTCCATCTGCCTGCGACTCCCCCTGCTTGTGCTCTCTCCCTCTCTCTCTGACAAAAAATAAATTAAAATCTTTACAAAAAGTGGCATTTCAAATCAGTGGATAAAAGACAGTTCATTCAATAAACCATTTGAAGAATGAGCCAGCTATCTGCAAAAAGCAAAGCTGGAGCTCTAACTCTAAAATAATTCCAGATGGAGCACTTAGCACAGTTGGAAGAGCATGCAACACTTGATCTCAGGGTTGTGAATTTGAGCCCCTCATTGTGTGTAGAGATTGCTTAAAAATAAATAAAATCTTGGGCGCCGGGGTGGCTCAGTCGGTTAAATGTCCAACTCTTGATTTTGGCTCAGGTCGTGAGATCCAGCCTTGTGTTGGGCTCCGGGATTCTCTCTCCCTCTCCCTCTGCCCCCCACCCCATTCGTGTGTACATTTTCTCTCTAAAATAAATAAATACATAAATAATAAATAAAGAAAATTTTTAGGAAATATATTTTAAAATTAGATAAGGAGGGGCACCTGGGTGGCTCAGTCAGGTGAGTGTCTGCCTTTGGCTTAGGTCTTAATCCCAGGGTCCTGTGGTCGAGCCCCAGGTAGGGTTCCCTGCTCAGCGGGGAGCTTGCTTCTCCCTCTCCCTCTGTCTGCTACTCCCCCTGCTTGTGTGCGTGCTCTCTGTCAAATAAATAAATAAAATCTTTTTAAAAAACTTAAATAAGGAAATAAAGTCTTAAAAATAATAAAATAAAATAAAATAATTGGATGGATCAGAAGTTTAAGCATCAAAAAAAATCATAAAATTATATGTTTAGGATTTGTTTCACAGTCATGGAGGGGTGGCAGAACAGATGGGCCCTGTTCTTATTACAGACGAAAGAGGGCCCTGGCCCTGTTCTTATTACTGTTGGCTCATTCTAGTCTCTCTACTCTTGTGTATGTTTGAACAAATGCTGTAAGAAATCATGGGATAAGGGTGACCGGGTGGCTCAGTGGGATAATTATGGGACTCTTGATTTCTGCTCATTTGACTGAGCCCTGCATCCAGGTCCCGGATCATCAGGCAGTCTGCTTTTCTCTTTCTCTTTCTCCCTCTGCCCCTCCCCCTTCCCTACTCACGTGCACTCTCTCTCTCTCTCTCTCTCTCTCTCTCTCTCTCTCTCTCTCTTTCTCTCTCTAAAAAAACCAATCCATCAATCTTAAAAAGAAAGAAAGAAAGAAAGAAATCGCGGGATAGGAGTGCCTGGGCGGCTCAGTGGGGAGTCTACTGGAGATTTTCTCTCTCTCCCTCTGCCCCTGCCCCTGCTCTCTCTCTCTCTCTCTCTCTCAAAAGAAGTAAATAAATCACACACACACACACACACAAAGAAATCATGGGATAGTTTTTAAAATAATCTTGGAGCAGGTAAGGTATTCCAGCCTTATCACAAAGTATTAGAAGCCATAAAAGAAAAGATTGATACACTTGACTATATAGAAGTTTTTGAATAAAAAATAAACTACTGAAGGGGTACCTGGGTGGCGCAGTTGGTTAAGTGTCCAACTCTTGGTTTCAGCTCAGGCCGTGATCTCATGGTCATGGGATCGAGCCTCAAAGCTGGCTCTGTACTGAGTGCAGAGTCTGCTTGAGAGTCTCTTCTTCTCCTCTGCCCCCCCCACTTGTTCTCTCTCTTTCTCTCAAATAAATAAATAAATCCTTAAAAATAAAAAAATAGGGACGACTGGGTGACTCGGTTGGTTAAGCGAATGCCTTCGGCTCAGGTCAGGATCCTGGAGTCCCGGGATCGAGTCCCGCATCGGGCTCCCTGCTCGGCAGGGAGTCTGCTTCTCCCTCTGGCCCTCCCCTCTCTCATGTGCGCTCTCTCTCACTCATTCTCTCTCTCTCAAATAAATAAAATCTTAAAAAATAAATAAATAAAAATAAAAAAATAAAAAATAAATAAACGACTGAATGGCAAACAAAAAAAAGTCACCATTGACAAGTCAAAAGGCAAATAAACGGTGAAAAAATTCACATGTCCCAGAAAACAAGCTCATTTCCTCCATAAATCACGAGTTCCTATAGATCAATGAAAAAGCAACAAGCAACAATGCATTAGAGAAATTGGCACCATATAAATAGGCGATTCATGGAAAAAAATATCAATGGCTTTTCAACATGTGAAAAATATCTTCACTTATAATAAGATAAATAAAGAAATAAAACTACAATGTGATATTTTAAGTCCTCCAACTGTCAAAGCAAAAAATTATTGATAGCATGCTGTGTTGTAAAGGATGTAGGAAAAATTTTCATATGTTGTGGGTAAGAACATAAACTGGTACAGCTTTCCTGAAAAGCAATGTGGTGATATCTGTCAACATCAAAAAGGGAAGAGCTGCTGGGCCACCTGGGTGGTTCAGTCGTTGGGCATCTGCCTTCAGCTCAGGTCAAGGTCCCAGGGTCCTGGGATTGAGCCCTGCATCGGGCTCCCTGCTCGGCGGGAAGCCTGCTTCTCCCTCTCCCACTCCCCCTGCTTTTGTCCCTTTTTCCATTGTCCCCCTCTCTTTTTAAAATAAATAAGTAAAATCTTAAAAAAAAAAAAAGGAAAGAGTTTCTTACTCGCAATTTCACTTTTAGTCATTGGTCCTACAGGTGATGCCCAGAATGATGATATAACAGGATTTCATTACAGCATTGTCTACAACGGCAAAGGACTGGAAACAACCTAAATTTCCATTGACGGGGACCTGGTTAGAGAAGTTCAAATATGTCCATATAGGACCTACCATGCAGCTGTGACGAAAAGGAGGAGAAAGATACAGGTGGACCAGTGTGAACACCTTCAAAATATATTGTTGAATAAAAAAAGCAAGATGCAGGGGCACCTGGCTGGCTCAGTCAGTTAAGCATCAGACTCTTGGTTTCTGCTTAGGTCATGATCTCATGGGTCATGGAATTGGATCTCATTGGGCTCCACATTTGGTGAGGAGTCTGCTTGAGATTCTTTCCCTCTGCCCCTCCCCCCACTCATTCTCTTTCTCTCTCTCAAATAAATAAATAAAATCTTAAAAAAAAAAAAAGGCCAGGTACCGGGGCACCTGGCTGGCTCAGTCAGCAGACTGTGGGACTCTTGATCTCAGGGTTGTAAGTTCGAGCCCCACATTAGGTGTAGAGATTACTTTAAAAAAAAAAAAAAAAGCAAGGTGCTAGAACAGTGAGTCTAGTATGCTTTGCATGAAGAAAAAAAGTGTGTGGATGAAATTTATGCTCTATAAATACATGTGCTTTCATATATGGCTGTGAATGCACCAAATATTTCTGACAGAATATACAAGAAACTGGTAGCAGTTGGGCTGGAGAGAAGTGGGAGAGAGAAGGAGGGAAGTTTAGGTTCCACTGTTTATTTTGTACCATCTTTACACATTATCCACTCAAAAATAAATTTAAAAATAATCTGTACGTATTCAGAGAGAGAATGATGTAAGAAATGTGGTAAAATGTTCACATGTAGGGACTATTGGTGAAAGGTATATGGGAATTATTTTACTATTTTTGCAGCTTTTCTATGTGTCTGAAATTATTTCAAAACAAAAAGTCTTAAAATTTAATAAATTTAGGGGCGCCTGGGTGGCTCAGTCGTTAAGCGTCTGCCTTCGGCTCAGGTCATGATCCCAGGGTCCTGGGATGGAGCCCTGCATCGGGCTCCCTGCTCGGCGGGAAGCCTGGTTCTCCCTCTCCCACTCCCCCTGCTCGTGTTCCCTCTCTGCTGTGTCTCTCTTTGTCAAATAAATAAATAAAATCTTTAAAAAAATTTAATAAATTTAATTTCTAAATTAATATATATTCTCCCTACAAACCATCCTTTTTACCCCATTTTCATGGCTGAGGAAATTAATACTCAGAGAGTTTCTATAGCTTTATTGAATTAAATAAGGCATTGATTTTTTTTATTCAAAAATATATATTGAGCACCTAATATGTGCTAGGCACTGAGGATACAAAACTGAGGGGAAAAAAAAACCAAAACCATATGTCATATAATGTCTGGTGGCAATAAGTGCTATGAAGAAAAGTAAAGCAAAGTGAGGGTGGGAAGCATAATTTAGATGGGGTGGCTGGAGGAGGCCTGTCTGAGGAGGTGACATTGGAAGAGAGCTTATGAGGAAGAAAATCTAGAAGAGTGTTCAGGGAGAAGGAACAGTGAGTGCAAAGGCCCTGAGGCAGGAACATGCTTTGTGTTCCTGAGGAACAGTGATGAGACCTGTGTAGCTGGAGCAGGTAATGGAGGGAAGGGGGAAAAGTAGAGAAGATGAGTTCAGAAGTAACAGGAGG